GGTGTCTATCTGGGTTGGTAAGTTCCAGGGTTGACACACCCCTGGGCAGCACCCCTGTGAAGGGGGAGCCCTGCTTCTGAGCCGTTCCCCCGGGCTGTCTGCAGACTCAGGCAGACAGGATACATGGGATCTTTATCCCCGGCTCTCCATCCCCAGCCCTGCTTCCAAGGTGGCCATTCTGTTCTCTTGCCCATGCCGTCCGGCCAGCTCTGCCTCTTGGCCTGCCCGGTTCACAGCAATTGACTACTTGGGTGGAACAGCTGTCACACCCTACCCCAGAGGGGTTGCATCCCAGTGCTGGGTGAGGGGTCCCTGGATACCAGCCCCCGTGCCCCACCCCAGAGTGATCCCTTCTCCCCCATGTGTAACACACACTGCCAGCGCGGTACAGCGGGGCTGTGGGTCACCTGGGGGGGGGGGCTGGTTTGTGGTTCTGTGTTTATTACAGATCTAGAGATTAACAGGATGCAAAATAACACAAACAGCTGCCTTGGTGCGTCTCTTCCCCCTCCTGGTGCTGAGCCCTCCTGGCCCCCCACCCATGGGGCTGGGTGGGGCAGCACCAGCTGAAGGGAGGGCTACGGGGCGGGGGGCTGTAAGCCAAGCCCATTCTCTGGGGGGGGAAATCATGCTGTCACCCCTGGTGGCTGAAGCTCCCTGTCCCATCGCTCCAATGACTCCCCCTGGGTTCACGCTATGGGAGTGGGTAGGTGGGTGAGGGTGCCCTTACACCCCGGGGGCTCTGCTCATGGGGCCCCCAGTTCACATTGATGGCAGCGTAGACACTGGGCTGGGCGGGCTCAGGGGCAGGGGCTGGGCTGCTCCACTTGCCCTGCAGCGCCTCGTGGTCCAGCTCGGTGTAGGTGAGTCCCTCGGCGCCAGGGTCAGGCTCCTGGGGCTGGGAGGGGAGAGAGTTATGTGTGTGTGCGTGTGTGTGTGCGCACATACCAGACAGTTCCACCAGGGGGCAGCGATGCCCCCCATAGCCCCTTGCCCCCCCCATGCACAGTTGCTCTGACACCCTCTGTCCTCTCCAGCACGGGGCTCCCAAGAGCTGCCCCTCCCCCCCGGAAATCCAGCAATGCCTCCCCCCCACCCAGTCCAGCCCACAGAGCCCACGGGGCAGAGATCAGGTAAATTCCCCACCCCCCCAGCACCTGCCCCCCATGGAATTCCACTGACCCTCCACAAATCTCAGACAAATGCAAACATTTGGAGGATGGTTTGAGGGGTGAAGCTGAGTTGGGGGGTGCAGGGTTAGGCTCTTCTTCTCTGTTTTCTGGATCTCCTGCCCCTCTTGGGGGGGAAGCCCCCTTGTTGATCCCCAGCTCCGGTGTCTGCCCTGAGGGGGTACAGGGGACAGGCAGAGTCTGAGGGTACCGGCATCAGAACATGGCTCTAGTGGGACCTGTGCAGAGCAGGATGGCGGGTGGGGGGGTTGAGGAGTAGGGGGCACTTACCAGGACATCCAGCTGCTTCCCTTCACTCACGAGGGCATCTGTGGAATACAGACACCCCCCCCCCCCAGTGAGCGGCTGGGCCCAGATTAAGGCCCCAGGCCCACCCCCGCCGACTAGCCCGCCTGACCCCAGCGCATCGGGGTGGAGCAGGGTCACTAGCCTAGGCTTACCATCCATCCGTATTTCCCCGGACATGTCCGGCTTTTGCGTCTTTAAATAGCCATCCGGGAGGAACTAGTAACAAGGTTAAAAGGTCCGGGATTTTTTCCCCTTCTCTACAGAGTGCTGCACGGCTGATTGGGCGGCTGGGCCTGATTGAGCCGCTCCCATTGGCCTCCAGCAGCCAGAGCCCCTCCCCTGCTCCCCCCGCAGCGTGTTTTGCCTACACGTGGAGCCATCAGGCATGGGCATGGTAAGGGGAGTCCTGGGGGGCAGTCAGGGAGCAGGGGGAGGGTTGGAGGCCTCCACCTGCCACCCAACCTCTGCGCGTCATCCCCCCTCGCGGGTCCCCTCCCTCCCTGCCTCTGCCTGCTTGTGCTGCCAGACTAGCACATTCCATAGCAACTGCTGTCTGCTGCCCCAGGGTCCTAGTGCCCTCCATCCAATAATAGCAAGGCAGGCTGCCCTTACCCTGCCCTTCCACCCTAGCCCCGAGCCTCTCCAATGCCCCAAACCGCTCACCCTCCCTGCACACCCACCCCCTGCCCCAGCCCAGAGCCTGCATGCAGCATCCAAACTCTATCCCAGAGCCTGCACTCTAATCCCCAGCCCAGGACCTTCACCCCAGACCTCCTACCCGAGCCTTAGGCAGGTGGGGGGGGTGGGTTCTGGGCACCACCAAACTTTCTACAAACCTGCCACCCATGCGAGTGGATAAGGGTCGGGCAGTCAAGGTCCTAGGGGGGCAGTTAGGGTGGGGGGTTCTCAGGAGGGGGCAGTCAGGGGACAAGAAGCAGGGGGGGTTGGGGATTTTGAGGGGGGCAGTCAGGGGGTGAGAAGTGGGAGGGAGTGGATGGAGGCAGGGCCAGGGTGGGGCTTCCCCCCGATGTCCTCTTTTTTGATTGTGGAAATATGGTAATCCTACACTAGCCCCATGGTGCAGCGGGGGAAACCGAGGCACAGAGCAGGGCCAGGGCACCCCCCAAATGCACGCAGTGAGTCAGAGCTGCACCCACATCAGCATTCCCCCCCACAGGACACAGCCCCTACCAGGGGACACTCACCCCTCCCCTATAGCTGCCCCCTATAGAGTGACTTACGGACTGTGGCTGCAGCCTCAGACTCCCTACAGGGAGAAAGAGAGAGAGTAACAGAACTCAGGAGTCCTGGCCCTCCTGTTGTAAGCAGTAGACCCCACTCCCCTCCCTGAGCCAGGGAGAGAACTCAGGAGTCCTGTGTCCTGGGACAGGTAGATCAGGGGTGGGGAGTGGAGCTGGGGTCTCACCTGCTCTGTCTCAGGGCTGGTCCTTTCTCTGCAGAGACATGAAGCAGAATCGTCCATGAGTTGACCCGGATTCCATGTACCAGCCCTGCCCCACAGCCCTATAGGGTAGCTGGGATATCCTATCCTATCTCATAGAGCTGGAAGGGACCTTGAAAGGTCATCGAGTCCAGCCCCCTGCCTTCACTAGCAGGACCAAGTACTGATTTTGCCCCCGATACCTAGGTGGTCCCCTCAAGGATTGAACTCAAAACCCTGGGTTTAGCAGGTCAATGCTCAAACCACTGAGCTATCCCTGAGATGGGGGTCCTAGGACAGAATCCCTCCCACCATGCTCTGCTGGGGGAGCCCCTCCCCCTCCAGCTGCTGAGCCTGGATACCCTAGAGACAGATTGAGCCCAGCCCCCTGCAACACAGAGCCCCCTGCTGAGCACCCACCCTCTGCAGCACAGCGCCCCCTAGTGCTGCCCAGGGGCTTTGGGGCCAGCTCTCACTGCCAGGGGAGAGCGCCCCCTGCTGGTCCCCTGCCCCACCCCCTGGGTTTCCTTCCCTGTCTCCCGTCCAAGCCGTGACCCCTTCCCAGCCCGGCTTAGCAGCGGGTTTAACCCTTCCCTCGCTGGGCAGGGCACTCACTTCCTCGGGTTCTTCTGTAGCAGAGGAAGATCAGGAGGAGGAGCAGGAGGAGGAGGCTGGTGGTCGCCGCGATCACCCCGGCGATGATGGGGCGGGTCAGACCCGGTGCTGTGCTTGGTTCTGATCCCCCTGGGAAGCAGCACCAGGCCGTGAGCACCGTGAGCGGATGGTTCATTACCTGCTGCCCCAGCCCCTCCCCCTCGAGGACCAAGGGACCCACAGAAGAATATTCTATGGGGCTAGTGGGGGGGCAGGAGCAGAGGGGATTCTGAGTAATAGTGGTCAGGGGGTTCACTCCCAATGGCAGAGGGTTGTACTGGTGTGGGGGCAGGGTGTGTGGGAGGGGGATTTACCTCAGGCCCTTTGCTTGCAAAGCCAGCTGGGCCCAGATCCTGCAGCACCGCCCCCCCTCAGGTCCTGCCCCGTCCTGGGAATTTCTCAGCAGCTTCAGCTCACTTCTATGTAGGAATTATATGGGTAGGGGGATGGCAGTGGAGGGAGCTTCTGGCCAGGGAGGGCTCTTTGAGATCATTGGGAGAGCCATGCCCTGCTGAAGTGATCAGCAGCAGAAGAGTTAATGGTGCCATCATTGCAACAGCCATCATTAGGTTCCAGAGTCAACCATATGTCACTCTGAATCAGTGGGTTCAAGTGTTAACACCATGTCTATCTGCATTGATAGATTCCAGGGCTAATGCTCCACTAGGCAGCACTCCAGCAAAGGGGGAGCCCTGCTTCTGAGCCGTTCCCCCAGTCTCTCTGCAGACTCAGGCAGACAGATGGGATACACCAGATCATTATCCCCGGCTCTCCATCCCCAGCTCTGTTCTCCCAGGGGGATATGCACCGAGCTGTGCCCCACACGAGTGACTTTGTGGTGCCAGTGAGCAGCACAGCACCCCGGTTTCTGGGGGCTGAGGTAGGGCTTTGCATTGGGGGGAAGCTCTCCCAGGTCCTGTCCGCACCAAGCCAATCTGGCATCTGTCCAGTGACACCCCCCCGCATATGAAATGAGGAGGCGGGATTTTCAGAGGGGACATTCGCTGTGGGGATCTTCCCCCATCCCACCCATCCAACCATTCACTGCTCCCCCCAGTAGCGGCTCCTTAGGCTGCACAAAGCTGTTTTTGGGCATGGGGGGTGGGGGTTGATGGCAATTTCCTGCCCTGGTACCTAGCCTCGCGCTGCCTGGGTGGGTGGAAGTTGGCGGCTGAGTCGGGTCAGTTCCCCCTGCAGGAATAGAACCAGCATCTGTCAGGGGCGGGGTGCAGGGGTGAGAAAGCGGGAGCCCTCTTGTCTGTGGTTAGTTATACAGGGAAGCCCTCCTCCACCCAACCGGCAATGGTGGCTCTTCCCTGGGCTGAGCCAGTGTCCCCAGAGCAGGGAAGACCAAGGCTCCCCCTGGGGCAGGGATCCCCCCTCCCTCAGCATCGAACCTCCAGCAGCTGCTGCTGCCCCCTTGCTGGGGAAACCCCCAGTGATTCCGTCCCTGCCCCCCAGCCGGGCGTCCCCTCTGCTGGACCCAGGTGCAGAGCCCACCGAGCGCCCCATTGATGCAGAGACCCCCTGATCAGGGGCGTGCACAGGAATAAAAATGTGGCCGCGATTGGAGGGGTACTTTGTGTGCCCCCCGCAGCCAGAGGAGCTGGCTCTGCTCCCCGGAGGAGATCTGAGCTCCGGCCCCACTGATTCGGGGGGCCCCTGCTCCTGTTTGTCCCCCTTGCACATGCCCCTGCCCCTGAGGGTCTGGCTGGGGGTGGGACTGGGAGCGAGGATACTGAGCCGGGCCACTCACCTGCTACCACCAGATCCACGGGGTCGCTGGGATGTGACCAGATGAACGGGTACAATTTGTGGTGATAATAGCAGCTGTAGTTCCCTGCGTCTCTCCAGCTCACGTTGCGAATGGGAAACTCAGCCAGGTCCCCAGCAGGCTCCATGTCCTGCAGTGCATTCGGGTTTCCATCTTTGTACAGAAGGAACCTCATGTTCTGGTGCCGACCCTGACACCGGATGGTCACGGCTCCCCCCAGGGCAACCCCCCCGCTGGGGCGCAGGGAGATGGAGGGTTTGCGGAAGATGAGCTCTGCAGTGAGAAGGAGACAGGCTGTGAGACAGGCCCCGGCAGAGTCCCTGCACCCCG